CTTAAGACTAGGCCCCTGTGAGCAGCCTGGAGGACCTCTGGCCCCTTGCGCAGCTAGCCAGCAGCAGATTGGAGGGTAATCTTTGGCCTGAAAGCAGAAGAGAGGAGGAACCCTGAGCTCTGATCCTGAGCACCCAGCAAGGTGCTGCTGAGAACATATCCTGGAGTCAGGGGGAGCTGGGTTCAAATCCTGGCTCCATCACGTATTGGCTTTACAGGCTGTTGCAAATGGCTTCACTCTTCTGAGCCTTTATTTCCTTAGCTGTACAGTGGGGATTCGTGATCCCCACTGCATGGGGTGTAGTTAGGATTACTTTAGATAATATCTATAAAGCAACCATCAGAGTGCCTGGCATCCTTTGTTTACACAGCAGACCATTTTTATACATTCATTTGTTTGCCACACTTCCAGCCCTCTTCTTCCTGGAACCACGTTGGATGAGGAAAATGCTGAGGGGTAGGACTGTGCTTCTGGGCCTGTGCCCTCGCTGCTCTGGGATTACTCTTAAGACCTGTGTGGTCTTTTGCACACCTGATCTGTGTCCCCCAACACCCAGAGACTTTCTGACCCGCTTGGGCATCTGTGTTCCCCTCTCCCTGAAGCATGCAGGTGATAGATTCTAGGTGGGGGAGGTAAAGTCACCTCCACGACAGGTCACCCCACTCTTATATCTGTCTCTCCCTCCTTCGCTGTCTCCAGCCTCATGAGTTTCTTTCTGCCCCTGGGACTGCCAAGCTCACATGCAACTTCGCCCCTTTCTTTCATTCATCCAGAAAGACCCTTATCCATGCACCCTGCCTTCCCCTGAGCCCACGTGTGCGTGGGAGCCTGTGTGTTTGCACGCACTTGGACACACACACACACACACACACACACACGTGGACTCATGTGCCTCAGTGTCTGGCTCATTCTCATCCTACAAGCTTCTACTCCCTTGGCCCTTTTCAGAAAGGTTTTCCCCACACACCCCTTTTGAGGTCTTTTGTCCATGCTGATTGCCTTTTTTGAAATATGACCTTTGTCATTTGCTAAAAAATCTGCGTGCAGAGGATGGATGAAAGCAGCATCTCCCACCCAAGAGCCAGGGGACAGCTGCTTCCTAGCATACCCATTTTATAGGCTCTTTTTTCTAAAAGGCCCCTCCTTCCAGCTGTGGTTTTCGGGCAGCCCCAGCCAGAGAGGAGAGCAGGACTTAAGAGTCCCCATAAACAAACCTAGAGTGTATATTTCAGAACCAACGCAGGGATGCATTTTGAAAACAAGGAGAATAACCGTGAACAGGATCAGATGTGGCTTTGAGAAGAAATTCAAATATTGTGTGGCTGTTTTGGCCACAAAGGAGAGTCAACAATCTCGGGCAGGTTTGTCTGAGAGCAGAGCCAGTCACGCACTGGAGAAGGGAGACGCAGGCTTGCTTGGCGCTTATAACTGGAATAGGCTACCAAGTTCTTTTGATGACTGGGACTTAGAGATCACTCGCTCGTGCCTGTGTATCCTTCAGGCTATAATTACACTGTGAGGGCACTTGAGGACGGAGAACATGGTGGAGGTAGGAAGAGGTTTGATTTTCCTCATAGCACTTACTGCAGCTTGTTTGTTCTGGGTCTGCATCCTCATCCCCTGCAGAAGGCAAGCTTTGTGAGAGCCCCGCCCTGGCCCTCACCTTCCCCTTAGGGTCCCCAGCACCTAAAGCAATGACTTTGGGATAGGCAGCTCTTTTGGATGCCCAGCAGCCGCCCTTCCTTCTCTGTCCCAACTCATTGGGAGAGTGGAGCTGAGCTGGCCTTTTTGTACCTCCCCTCTTGTGCCTCCCTAGAGGCCAGCCCATCACATGTCATCAGAGTCTCGTGTCATGGTGACGGGGATAGTGGCCTGAACAGTGGACGCACTGGGGGTGGTGAGTGAGGGAACGTTCTGGAGCTCCCCTCTTTTTGTCAGGTGCTGGCACATGTTATTTGTGAGGGAGGGAGTGGCAGCAATGCCCTTGGCTTTGTGCTTGGGAGGAGTGTACTGTTCAGGTGTGAGAGCCCCTACTTACAGGAGCTTCTCTATTCAAACTCAGGAAGGAAATGGACTCAGACAAACCTCCAGGTGAAACCAGCATGACTTAAACTCTGGTCGCTCAGTATCCCAAACTCAGGAACCAAATAGATGAGGATGCTCTGACTGCTTTGACTACCCACCCACATCCTTGCTTCTTAGGAATGGGATCAACTTAGGGATGTTTGATTATTAGTCTAGTATGTATGGAAGTTCTTATGCCTTTATTATTCGTTGATTTTTTTTGGAAAACATAAAATTAGAAGAATTTTAAGTGAGTTTTGCAACACAAACATTTCTACAGACTTGTGATTAATACACTAACTACTTTTTAATTTTTTTTTTGGGTGCTAGTGTAAATGGCATTGTTATTTAAATTTCAAATTCTAGATAGTCATTGCCGGTATATAGGAATGCAGCTGGCCTTTGTATATTGATCTTGTATCCTACAATCTTCCTAGACTCAATTATTCGTTTTAATAGGGTTTTGGGGGTCAATTTTGTAGAGTTTTTGTTTTCCGTATAGATAATCACACCATCTGTGAATGAAAGCAATTTTTTCCCCTTTCCAATATGTGTGCCTTTAATTTCTTTTTCTTGTCTGGTATTTCCTCCACATATATTTGGGAAACAGTCCCATATCCAAGTTAGAAAAACTCAGCCTAGACTTTCCTCTTCTTTGCAGTAAATCCAGACCCAATAGTAGGGAATTGCTGACCAGCCCATCCTGTGGCCCACACGGCAGGGGGGAAGTCTAGAAGCTGGAAGCACTCCCACAGGGAGTATAGGGCTAACCTAGCTTTGCCCCTGGAGTGACCCCCGGCTTAGTGTTTCCTCTGCCCTCTGCCTTTCATGACTCAGATCCTGCTTCTCAACCAGCTCCAAACCATGGAACTCCAGCTGGGAGTGTGTTCGGGAGTCCGTGGTGGTGAAGCAGAAGGCGATGTCCCTGTACAAGCCTGGACTGTCTCTCTCTTCACCAGTAGCTTATGCGCCGGTGTCCAGGCTCAGGGCAGGGAGTGGCACAGGCTTCCTGCAAGGTGTGGCAAGCTGGGCTTGCAGCAGGGTCTCCAAGGATGGCATCATAAGGAGCACTCAGATTGGGGGTGTGCCCAGCTCTCTCTCTCTGGCTTATCGTTACCTGCTATGTGCCAGATGGGCTCCTCAAGCAATCAGAGTTGCAAAGTCCCAAGGGACAGTCTCTGCCAGGCTTCTCACGTACAGATGGGGAAACTGATGTGGCATTGCTGATATAGGAACCCAGGTCTCAGGGGGCCTGGTAGCCCGGGCCAACCCCCAAGGAAGATGTACCCTGTGTGTGTGGGGAGGGGGGCAGGGGCTGACTGTTTTCCATTATGTCTAAGAGGCAAGCAATTATAAGAGGTACCATTATTTTATTTATCCCTGAGAAATGAACAATGCCAATTAAATGATGACATCCCCTTCTGTAAGATACACCCTGATTTTAAATATGTTAAAGCATGAAAAAAATATGCATCCTAGAGCTGATAAAATAAGATGAATTTATAATAAAATGAAGTCATGAAATTACATGTGCAGTGTAAATCTGAGTTTCCCTTGCCTCTTCTTAAAGGACTCCTGCGTGTGACTGTATGCGAACAGCCAGTCCCCTGTGGATGGACACTGGGATTTCTCCCAGGTTTTTGTATTATCAGACCACTGAGATGATCAATGTCTACTTCCACCCTCGGACTTCTCTGATTATTTCCCCAGGAAAATGACCAGATCAATTTTCTCTAATACTTTTATGGTTTTAATTTTTCCAATTAGCTTTTAATCCATCTGCAATCCCAGGTATTGGATAGGCTCAGGGAGCACGTGGAGGGGTTCATGGAGGTGCTGGGTGCCAGCTGGTTCCATGTGAATCTCTAAGTGTCAGGTGGAAGGGGCTTAGTGAATATGTTGGGAGGGCAGCAGGGGGAGTGGTGGTCCAGCTCTGCCTCTGGCTTTGCTTCCCCTGAAGGGGGCAGGAGGTGGGTTGGGCAGAATTCAGGGAAATGGTTCATGTTCTGTGTGCCCCTGTTCCCACCTGCTCTGGAGAACCCCCCAGTCTCGTGTACTGGCCTCCATCAATATTAATAACAGCGGCTGCCTTTACTGAGCCTTCTGAAACCCAGGCTCTGAGCATGCATTATCTTTGGGCTTGGGATTAATTGTTGTCAATGTTTTGTAGATGGGGACACTGAGGCTGTGCATGTAAAGGAAATAGCCACACAGGTTGTAAGTGGCCGAGCTCAAGCTCAGGCTTCCTTCTCTTAGTTTGGGGCTTTTCCTTCTACTGGGGGCTGCAGCCAGCCTGACCTGCATGTGCTCTGTCTGTGTAGCAGACCTTACCAGTGTGCATCAGGTATCTGCCCTGCCCCTCCTCCATGACCTTGAATTTGGGCATAGCCATAGGGCTTGCTTGGGCCAATGAAGTGTGTACAGAAATGTGTTGCTTGTGGGTAGAAGCATTTTAGACGGTGTGATTTTCTGTGCACTTCCATCCTGCTTCAGCAGGACTTGAAGTCTCTTTTGAGATGGGGGCATCATGAGGTGGTGGTGCCTTTTAGTGCCCACCGTGAACACCTTCCGGCCTGTACTGAGTGTGAAATGGACCATTGTTTGAATACCTGAGATCATTTGTTCATGCTGCAAAACTTGCCCAGTGCTTAGGAGACATCACATACCTGGGGAAACTCTCTTTGCTGCCTACAGTCTCTGCTTCAGTATATGCAAAAGTACACACTGCTCCACTGAGCTACCTTGGAGAAGGTTTTGGGGTTTATATGAAAGCATAGTAGCGGGGGTGTGGGTGGGGCTCTGTGAGGTGCTGAGGGTTGAAGGGAGAGGGCCGGGACATGCAGGTTGCTGATGACCCTGGTCCGGGGTCTGGGTTCCCATCCCTCAGTCAGAGGCCCGAACACAGGCTTGGCTAACAGGTGTATTCCCTTTGGCAGGTGGCCCTCCCCCGGGCGGCGGTGCCCCCTGGCACCTTCGAAATGTCCTCAGCGACTCAGTGGAGAGCTCGGATGATGAATTCTTTGATGCGAGAGGTGAGTGAGCCCCATCCTCTCATCATTGGCTGGGTAACCTTTCTAGAAGTCCCACAAAGAGGGTTCTGTTGGGGATTCATAGCCCTCCCACTCAGATACAGGGTCAGCAGTTCCACCCTCACACTCTGAATCTGTGAGCCCCCCAGGGGCTGGGACTCAGCCTTCATCCATTCACTCTTTGAGGTCTTTGTGGGCCCCTGATATATTTCAGGAGCCGTGTATGGCAGTCAGGACACTCCAAACTGATCAGCATGGTCACTGCCCACACCATGCTTGTTGTCTAATGGAGAGACAAGCATTAAGCCATGACACAGGAAATACAGTCAAAAAGGGGGGATATGCCACACTGAGAGGTGTTGGGTGTTAATAGAAAGAATGAGGACAGGGCATTTAATTTAGTTAACACCTTCTCTGCAGAACTGAGGGTAGGAGATGGTTAGGTGAAGAGTGGGAGAAGAACCTTCCAGACAGAGGCGTGATAGTGCTGAAATAGGAAAGATGGGACATTCCAAGAACTGAAGGAGGCTGTGTGGCAGGAGGTAGTAAACAAGGGGGAGAGGAGAGATGGGAGGGGAGTAGGACGGGCGGTGGAGCCCAGTCGGAGAGATGTCAGCATCTTCTTTTGTTTAAATAATTTATTTATTTATATATATTTTACATCATTGTTCCTTTTTTTTTTTTTCTTTTTTACAATGTTTGCTTTCTTTTCTCAGGTGTAGTCCCCATAGAATTCCCACCACCAATTTGCCTGTGCACCATCACCATATTCCCTTGTGCTCTTCCCGACCTCGTTTTGATCCCTCTCCCTCCCCCTCCCCTGCAGGTCTCTGTGACTGCAACTTCTTTTATTTATTTATTTATCTATCTATTTATTTATTTATTTATTTATATTTATTTATTTATACATGCACTGGATACAGTCAGAAGCGCGGGAGGGGGAGAGAATTCACCAGAGCCAGAGCGGGGAGCAGAGCAGGCAGAGTGACAAAACACACTGCTGAGAGGAGCAGCAGGCAGCAGGAGAGGTCTGCGAGCCATGTGGGACCCTCACCGGCAGCCCGGGTTCGAACCTGTGCTGCAGAGGCTGCGGGCAGCTTTGCAGCCCAGCACTCAGGGGAGGCTCTGACTGCAACTTCTTAATCCACTCCTCTGTCCTTTAGCACGTAGACTGTTTCCATAGTTGGGCTGATGTGAATAGTGCTGCAGTGAACATAGGAGTGCAGGTTTCCCTTTGAATTAGTGTTTTTACATTCTTCAGGTGGAGTGAATTGCTGGGTCAAATGGTACTAAAAATGGCCGATTTTTAGTATTTTGAGGCACCTCCATACCGTTCTCCTTAGGGGCTGGACGAGTCTTTGTTCCCATCAGCAGCATATGAAGCTTCCTTTATTTCCACCTCCTTGTCTACACTTGTTTCTGGTCTTTCTGATAGGGGCTGTTCTCATGGGTCTGATAGGGCCTGGGATCTCATTGTGGTTTTGATTTGCATTTCCCAGAGGATGAAGATTTTTTTCATGTGCCTGTTGGCCATTTGTATGTCTTCTTTGGACAAGTGACTAGTTAGCTCTTCTGCCCATATTTTGTTCGCAATTTATTTTCTTTTTGTTGAATTGTATGAGTTCTTTGTAGATCTTGGATCTCTGTCCCTTGTCAGAGGTGCGATGTGCAAATGTTTTCTCCCATCCAGTAGGGTGTCTTTCTGCTTTAAAGAAAAAGCAAAGGAACAGACAAAACAAACCCTAGACTGAAGGATTGAGGCTACCAGAGGCAGTGGCTATGGTGTAGTAGCTTACTACTGCAGAGGTGTGAACTTCTACCCTTCAAACTTATGTGGTATTTTAAACCAATGTTACCTCAAAAATATATATATATATATATATATAAATAAAACAATTGTAGCTGTTCAGATGAGAGATGGTGAGTAGGTTATGTGCTCTGTGCTCAGTGCTGAGCTTGACTAGCATGTAGGACATGGCAAGGGTGCAAATCTCTGTCAGAACTGGAGAAGAGGGTTCCATCAGAACTGGGGGGCATTTCAGGTAGAGAGAGCAGACTGCATAAAGGCTCAGAGGTGAGAACATGCAGGGCAGGTATGGAGGCTGGGGGAGCTGGGGTCTGTCTGGAAGGTAGGAGAGAGGACCCTCATTGGCATGCTCACCTGGGCTGGGTGGGGGTAGATGAGGAGCACAATGGGCCCCTTTCCAAGCCAGGAAGGGTCACATTTCCCCCATGACTGCTTGGTCCCATCTGTGAAATCCCCATATTTCAGGAGTTGACTTTTTGCTGAAATGGGGCCAGTTTTGAAATACCTGGTTAAATAGGGTCTTGAAAGAGAAGCCAACTGTGCTGGAAAGATGTCTAGACCTGGAGGAGGGCCCAGGAAGGTGACTGCAGCCATGCCCTTGACTTGTCCTGTCATCTTGGGCAGGTCTTTCACCTTCTGTGGGCCTCAGTTTCCCTATGAGGTCTGTGGCTCTGAAAGTGGAGAATACCTACATCAGGGGATTTTCAGGGAAGCCGTGTTGGGAGGTGGGTTGCAGTCCTGGCTGGAGGAGCGTCCCTCATTTTGGACTCTGGATGTCAAACCTCCCTGAAGCTAACCCTGAGCCAGTCCACTTGGGGCTCATTTCTGATCTCCTGGCATCTGGTGGGAGTATGCTGCCTGGACGAGTTTCTCCATAGCAACTAACCCACAGTGTGACAACAATGGCTCCAATATTTTGATGCTTAGAACACTTTCATTTAAAATATTTTTGCAGTTCATTAGGGCCCTGCATTGCCAGATGATGATGGCTTGCTGCTGAGGCCCAAGCCTCTGTGTGGCAGGGGGTCAACCACCCCTCAGGGCTGTTCACCTGCTTTCCTGTGATAAGCTGTGGAAACACCCACTCTTTGCTGACCTCAGCCTCCCCCCTCAGGGCTCCCTCCCGTGTCTCAACGTTCTGTCTGCAGTTCCCCAATTATCCTCATCTCTCACTCCTTTTCTGTTGGCGGCACCACTTCTTATACCCTCCTTTGTCTCCTCTCCTTCCTTCTCTTCTTGCCTCTGTCTTTCCTTTTCTCCCCCACCCTGGCATCCCAGACCCTCTTGTCTCTCTTGTCTCTCCCCTGGCTCCCCATCTTGGCACTCTCCCAGACATCCCAGAGCATCTGGAGTCCTCAGCCTCGGGCTCTGCCCGCAGGCTGCTGGGATCCTCTTTAGCTCAGAATTGTCAACTCCCAACCTCCTATCTGTTCTACCTCTGGACAACACCATTGTGTGTTTGTTGACTTGAGGTAACAAGAGTGACGCTGTCCTCCTCTGCTCCCAGGAGCTGCTCAGGTCCCACCCAGCCACCTAGACCAGTCATATCCGGGGCAAGTGTGGGGGGTCCAGGTTTCTGGGCATGACTTGAAGGGCCACATCCCTGGCTCCTGTTCCCTGGGTCCTCTTCTCCAGGCTGGAGACCTGGGTGGGGGCTCTGCCCCTGCCTCGCAGGACCCTGCATCCAGCTACCTCTGCCCTTCCAGCTCCAGCTGCCAGGGAGCTATATGACTGGGTGTCAGTGCTAAACTGAAACATTTTGTCCTCCTTCTCAATGCAGTGATGGGGAAACTGAGGCCAGAATATGAAGGGACCTTCTAAGATCACATATCAAGGTGGGGATAGAAATACTAGAAGCCAGAAGTTTAGTGTCCAAGACTGGCCTTTTCTTTGACTTACTGCTGAAATTGGGGCCTGCTTCCCTCCCTTTGTTCTGTAAGCTCGAACCCATTCACCCAGCTCTCAGTGGTGCTGGTGGATGAGAGACACTCATTGTTCATGACCTGTAGCAGAGACTCTGGGGGGCCCTGATTGTGAATGTAAGGTTGACGCCTCTGATTGGGTGCTGCAGGTTAGGAGATGGGGTCCAGGCTTCCAGAACTGGAGGAGACATCACCCCTCTTCTGTTAGCACAGTTGAAGGATATCCGGGAAGCCAGGGCCCAGCTCTGCCAAGGTTGGTGTGCACAGTGAAGGAAAACCCAGGGTGGCACAGAAGGGGTGTACTTCAAAGCCAGACCATGTTATACTCATACATTTATATATTACCATAAATAAAATTAACATAAAGGAACAGACATCTCAACAAAGACGATATGTGAATGGCAAATAGTAAAAAGAGGCTCCACATCATTACTCATTAGACAGATGCAAATTAAAATGACAATGAAAGCTACAACAGACTTACTAGAATGGCTGATGATGATGACTGAGCAGGCTAGGAGGGGCTGGAACTTTCCAGCCCTGCTGGTGGGAACATGCAATGGCTCAACAATTTTGGAAAATAGATTTTGAGGTTTCTGATTTTAATGGTCCTAAGCTACTTCATGAGCAGCCCTTCCACCCCTAGGTATTTGCCCAAGAGGAAAGAAAGCACCTGTCCCTCTAGAGATGGGTTCTTGCCGGTTCATAGCAGCTTTATTTGTTAGAGCCCCAAACTGAAAACAACCCAAATGTACATAAGCGGGAATGAATAAACAAACTGTGGCACATGCATGGAATGAAAACTTTCTCAGCAATGAGAAGAAATCATCTTTTGATACACTCAGCAATATGGATGTATTTCAAAATAATCATGCTGAGTGAAGGGAGTCAGACTGAAAAACAGTACACGCTGTACAATTCCACTTACATCTGACTCCAGTGCATGCCAACCAGTCTACCATGATGGGCATGCCGGTGATTGGTTGGGGTGGGATGGATGCTTGGGAAGAACAGGAGGAAACTTCTGGGTCAGAGATATCTGTTCACTATCTTGATGGGAGTGGTGGTTTCATGGGTGTGTGCATCTGTGAAGACTTACCAGATTTTAAGTATATCTAATTAACCGAATGTTGATACTCAGTAATGCTGTTAAAAAATGGAGGAACTCCCTTCAGTGTAACATAAGGTGGTGTGACAGTGATGGGGGACTGCAGGAGACCCCAGAGGATATAGCCTGAGCTGAGAACTGAATAACAAGAAGTGAACCATGTGGG